CTAATAAATTAATTACCCTCTCCCAAATGGTTACTGACACCGCAGCGCCACGTTTTTACCAGTCCCTGAGATCCATAAAACGCCAGCTGTTTTTACTCCTCGTTGCCTGCGACGTTGTTTCAATTTTTCCGTCCAGTTGTTTCGGAGCGGGTTTCATTTGGGAAAAGCTCTCTTCTGCTTTTCCCTACGCATGTTAAACAAAGGTATCCATTCGGCTCGATCTGAACTGTGGTAATTTGATTTGTTAGTCCCGGTCACGGGGGGAAGTGCAGGAATTATGGGGCAGTTTGTCTGATCACAGGAACAATTTATTCAATTATGAAATCGGGAGGTTTGGGCAAGATGCAAAAAAATGACAAATGGTTTTCCAAGGAAGGCAGAATTCAGGACTGGGTCGAAGCTTTGAAAAATTGGAAGCAATCAGAAACATCACTTTATTAAAAATCAGTACAGGCTGGGAAAACCTTCTCTGCAAACAATTTAGGAAAAATCAAATTCTCCATCCTGTATGTTGCCATGGCAACCAGTTGCTGAGGAAGGGGCTGTGCTCAAATGAACCCCCCCCCCCCCAGTATAAATTTATGAGTTCTGTCTGTTTACACTGTTTATGATATGGTTTCATTAGCTGAAGTTCAGAAGTTTATTTTAGTTGGGGGGGGGGCAGCTGAGTATATCCACCCCCTCCTAGTCTTAGGTCAGGGAATGGGTGACAACACACTATTAACAAATAATTTATAGAACTTAGGTTACAACCACTTGATGATGATGAGAACTTAGGTTGACCCCACTTCAAACGCCGTACACACAATAAGACACTGACCCTTCTCTGACTCTACATCTGAGTAAGATATTTATGTAGCGTAACTTCAGACCACATCAATTTCTGTTCTAATCTTTATGTGTAGCATTGTTATGTAATACAGGGTGAGTAAAAGAAAACCGAAACCTAAATATCGGGACCATTGTTCTACTGAAGTTCTAAATGTAACACATTCAAAATCTAGGATATAAAAGCTCAATTCATAAGCTTTCTTTTAGTACAAGAATCATTCAAATTACTCATGTACTTTCAATTTACGGAATTTTAAACACAACCACCGTTCTAAAGTTCTGTCTACGGATCACAAAATGGTTAGTGTTCTTTGAGCAAAACGAAAACAAATCACATAAAGATGTGTGTGAATTGTTTTCGTTTTGCTGAAAGAACGCACACCTTTTGTGTGATCCGTGGACAGAACTTTAAAATTGTGGTTGTGTTTAAAATTCCATAACTTGAAAAGTACTTGAGCATTTTGAATGATTCTTGTACTAAAAGAAAGCTTATGAATTGGGCTTTTATATCCTAGATTTGAAAGTGCTACATGCAGAACTTCACTAAAACAATAGTCCCAACATTTGGGTTTCATGTTTTTTGACTCGCCCTGTATAGCATTTGTATGCCCCCTCAGTAGTGGATACATGTCCTAATCCTATCCGCATTCAATTGTCCATGCCATTCACTATAATTTGATATTTATTTTACGTGTATGGCCTGGAACACTCCTACTTGGCCGTATGGATCCACAGACACCAACTGCATCAGTGAACATCGTGGCAAAAAAAAAATCAAATTAAAACCTTTGGTTGTGTGCATAATTCAAGGGTGCGTGCCTGTGGTGGCTCCGGTTCGCAGCATAACTGAATGAGCCTATGTTAGTTTATCCAATTTATGCGAAATGCAGCGTAGCGGATACACGGTATCAATTGTCCGGTCTGTATTGATTTTGGAACGATATCCGCGGTAATTGTTGGAGAAAAGACTCGGTTCATGCAATCTGTTGAGTTGTGCGCACGCAACAGAAAGTGTAGCTGGATGGCTGGACTTCGTTGGTGTTTTTGTCCATTAAAAAAAGAATATGGTATCCAGCAGAGCATGTCAGTTGGTCGAATGATTTCCTTACATGTTCGTGGTTAAATTAAAACAAGTATGACTGTAAATAAACCTAAATGACCCCATTCATGAATTCAGACTGTTATAGGCCCTATATCAGCATTAAAACATTAATTCAGTGAGTAGTTTTACAAAGTTTTGCTCAAGCTGAGTTTAATGTTTTGCATTTGAAATTCTTAAAAAGTTTTACCTCAGTATCAATGGTTGAATATTCGAAAACATTGATCAAATAATGGAATACTAAATTATTCAAAATGCACAACACTAACTTATATCCTTATTTTCTACTAGTTTTGTTCACTCGAGTCGCTGACTCGGACTCGAGTTGGACTCGAGTCGCTATTTTTTGACTTAAGACTTGAGTTGACTTGGGAAAAAATGACTTGAGACTTGACTTGACTTGAATAAATTTGACTTGCTGACATTAACACATTTTTTTAAGTTCAAAAAAACCCACAAACCTCTGGCGTTCGTGCGCACTAGCATAATCGGTTGAAAAGAATGCAGATATTATATACATAGCGAATTAGCAACCAGCACGCGATAGCTGGGCATCCTGAGCCTGCCACACGTCATGTACACGACTATCACTATGTGTTTGTTATGGACAACGTATCATACTTGACCTCGTGCATGCGAGGTGAAGTTTGTGCCGTGCGTAGTCTGAATACCATCCGTTGTTATAGAGCGGTCATTCCATAGAGACCATAGGCTACACGTACGCATTGAGTGATTTACCGTAAGCGTGCAAAATGCAACTATGTTTTAAACCACTGGAAAACGGCTGCTACCCCTAATCCGCCATAAAGCAAAAATAATTCACATCATGCATTCAACGAAAATGTTCAGAAGGACATTTTGTCAGACTTCCTTCAAACATTCAACATGATGGAACAAGTTTGAAAATATTATATCAAAAATGCATTTTTGGACTCTTTAGATACAAATAAGGTGTTTGAGAGAGGATGTTTGAAAAGCATGATTTTTTTAAAATCTCCTTACATGATGCACGCTTTGATAAACCCCATTCCCATCTCTACTCCGGCTCCGTCGTCGAACACATAAACTGGTTCCCGCACATAGTATGTGCATCTAATATTTTTTTTTTTAAATGGCTCAAGACTTGACTTGACTTTTTGAAAAAATTGACTTGAGACTTGACTTGACTTGCTTAAATTTACTTGAGACTTGACTTGACTTGCTTAAATTGACTTGGGACTTGACTTGACTTGGAAAAAAATTGACTTGAGACTTACTTGACTTGCTAAAATTTGACTTGGGACTTGACTTGACTTGGAAAAAAATGACCTGGTTACAACTCTGTTTTCTTCCAAGAGACCTGCATGCACAAATAATTAAAAGACTTCCTCACCTGTCCCAGCCAATAGTTAAATAAATAAATGAATAAAAGCTTAATGACTCTTGCGGCATAAAAAACTGGGTTATAGGTTAGTGACAAATTTTGAAATTATTTATTTAATTCTTACTTTAAAGTTGGTATATACATGCTTTTTTCCAAATTTTGAGTTTCTTCTCCGAACAAATTTTAAAGGAATATAATGTCCTGTAACAAATAAAATTGCTTGTTTGCATTTGCAGGCCTTTTTGCAGTTTTAACAATGATTGTAAATAGGGCGCTTCAGTTCAGAAAATTCTTTAAATATTCATATCTAGTGACGTTTCAGCTATATACATGTATATGTTAAGTATTCGCCTGTAACGGCTATGCTAAAATTGTGGCCAGTTTGCGACACTCCCGCGCGATCATGTAGGCAAACATGCAGCCAGACCAGCCTGGCTATACTACAGTTCCTACGTTCTATCATAATCTCTGCTATTTTGCGTCTTTTCCTCTCACTGATATGCAAAACCCGTGGTTTTCCAAGTCTTGTTTCACGTGTCATTTATGATTGTGTTTTTTGACTTTCAGTATGCATGTAAAATGCTACATATCTGATCTACCTGACTCGTTGAGTTTCCCATGAACCCGTAATGTAAATATTACACAGGCCCTACAAGCGACACCTAGACAAACACCTGCACATCATCCCCCCTCTTCCCCCACCACCACCTTGGCTTGTAACCTGTCCCTGACTAGAAGGTCTGACGCTGGCCATGAATCCGTCTTGATCAATACCGGGCAGAAGTAAGGCCAGACGCCCCACCTGGTCTAATGTTTGTTCTCACCTTACACAGTGGCGACGTGGAGATGTTGTCTGGAAGGCAGCTTGCTTGCTCCGGTTAGGTTTCCGCTACTGTGTGTGCATGTAGTATTTGTATTGTCATAAACCCAATAAAATGTTGGTTTAAAATTGAAAATAAATTGTCTTCAAGGCATACATGAAGATTGTTGTAGGTGGATTTAAGTAAGATTAGAGGCTTTGCATGGTGGAGATACTAATGAGTGAAAGGTTTGCTAAAACATCATGTTGGAATAATTTCTCAAACTAAGAGAATGATTCTGAAAAGAACTAGAGGTATTAACTCGATGTTTCAGTCAGTATGCTCTGACCAACAAGAAGAGCTGAAGACGGTCAGAGCATACTGACCGGAATGTCAAGTATATACATTTTTGTACCTCTGGTTCTTTTCAGAACCATTCTCATGGTGTTTCTGCAAACCTTTCCACTCAGAAGTTGAATTTGACAGCTTTACCCCGCCCAAAAAACTAAACTTTGAAGTTCGGGTCCAGCTTGACTAGGAAAGCCTGTTCTTGTTAATCAAACTTTTACCCTGAAGTTTGCTAACATTCTTCAAATTTCTCATGAATCTGCCAAAATTTCAAAAGATATTATTAAAAAGTAAAAAAAAATTCTGGATATTAGGTCCTTAAAATGGAATGACTCCGATAATTTGCCCAAGAAATTTAACCTTTCCCCCAGCTACCAGAGCCAAACAATATGCTCGTCGATGTGTGCTACGCTTGTCTGACCCATGAGACATCACAGTTGAACAGGGCTATATTTTAATACCAAAACTTTGCTCCTTAAACTTTTATTCTCGATTTAAAGGTGTCACCCTTTCATTATCCTCACATTTTTTAAGACGATTTTCTCATGTTTCTTTGCAGGAGTACGAGCGTCGGGATGATGTGCACGTGGAAAGAGTGAATGGCATCAAGGTGGTTCAGGAGATGGCAACCAAGATGGAGAACATGCTGGAGAACAAGGTGCTAGCCGTCAAGGTAAGGTGGACCAATTTCTTCCGCCTGGACTAATTTTATGGTGCTACTATTAAATAAGCGTATTATTTATCTGTGAATTCAGCGCAGTGCTGTAGTTGTGGCCATCACAAGTAAATCATAAGTCTGGAAGTAAGTAAATCACTAGTCAATTCACAAGTCCAGTCACAACTAGCAGAAGATGAACACGGTAACCAATGAATGCTTTCGTAACAGTTCATTTGAATAGCTTGTGACTTGAGTTGGCTCTGGACTGCATGACTTGTGATGGACTTGTGATGGACTTGTGAGGACTTGTGATGGTCTCAGCTACAACACTGAGTAAGCGAAACGGTAAGCAGGAAGCACAGCAGATCATGCTTATTCAGAGGCAGAATCTGCTTAAAGTTCTAATGCAGCAATGGGCTTCATACACAAGTACCCCCTCAACGGTAAGAAAGGGAGAGTTGGGGGAGACCACTGAAAAAGACATATGTACACATTTCTGACGCCGTTTGATGCTTATGTAAAAACGCTATGGTGTGTGTACATTCAGAGTAAAATAAGTTGTGCTACTTCACGCTGTACGCCCGCGAACCAGTACGCGCATGCAGCATGTCCTGTCCCCCGGGCTCTTTGGTCAAAAGCGCCCTCTTCGCGCATGGAGCCCATAGCAATATCATTGTGTGCGTAAGCATGACAACAACATTCTAAGAAAAGACACACATGGAAATCCCGCCGGCTACAATTTGTTCTGCTTTGTATGGTTACTCACGTGTTCTGACACCCCTATGTTCCAACACCTATGCTCTGACACAATCTCATGGGTGGGTTGTCGGAACATAGGGGTATCGGAACATAGAGCAGTCACCCTTTGTACATACCGGCATAACTAATGGCTTTCCTGTAGGAAAAGTTTACTGGCCAGCTTATATTGACTTGCTCTTAGAACACACTGCGTTCAAACATGAAATATAAAGTTTACTTTGAAAAGAAGCACTTCCGAAAATCCTTAACGTTTTCTCCTTCAACTTCCCTCTATAACATCTTTAAAATACCTCTTCAACATTACCATACTTTAGTTCGCTGTTTGAACACACAACTATGTCCAATCAGGAAATAAAAGTTTGCTGAAGCAAAGGGATGCATTCTCTTTTTTAAATTTGCATCTCCCAAGGCTCTATAGTTTCCACTCCTCCGAGAACCTCTTCATCATGTCCTCAGAAAACCCCTCCGACATCCCTATGCTCAGGTTTCCACATAAGGCTGTCAAATTTCTCCCATCCTCGTTGCCCTCAAAGTACTTCAACCTCTCCTTGTGTCCGCAGTTCCCCCAAACTTAATGTGCAACATTTTAATATACCTCGTCTCTCCCACCTTGACGTTTCCCCTTTACGCTTCGGGTTTACCGCTTAATATGTACCGAGTTGTGTCATGAGTACCTCTCTTACATTCCAGGGGTCCGGGTCTTGTGTTTTTAATTGTCAGCTCCTTGACAAGATGTTGGAGTGACATCCGTTCACTTCTTACGATCGGCCCGCGCTGCCGAGAATTATTCATTCCTCGCCGGGCGTCTTGTCAGCTCCCTCGGCACTCGTGTGATTCTCTCCCGCTGAAAGCGGACACTCGTGCTGCATATCAATTTTGGTTCTCAGTGGAAAGACGGCAGATTGACACGTCAGTTTGGCATCCGTGTGTCCGACTTGAGCACTCCCCCACATTTCGCATCCGTACGAGTTGTTTTATTGAGGTCATGGCACCTTGCACACTTGGTTCTCAGTTTGATATACTATCCAAGGAGGTTTCCACTAGAAGTAGTGTTTGCTCATTAGAGTGCTGAGAGTAGCCACTTGAAATTTGATACCTGAATTAAGAGGATATCCGTGTGCTGTTGGACGACTTTAATAGGTAATATTGGATGTCTGTTTTTTCAGGATGCAATTTAAATCATTTACTGAGAACTTACGTTGGGAGCAAGAATTGGGATGGAGAGGTTGCATCCCGCCTCTGTTTTAATGACAGTACTCTCTTGTCTCTGTTTTAAGTATCGTGAAGATTCAATATTAGGATTTGCCTTTCATTGTCGTATAAACATTTATACTTCCTTTGTCATGAAGATTAAAGATAATTGTTAAAAGGCTTTTCAAACTCTAATCAAATTTCTGACTGTGCTCCAATTTGTCTAAAGAAAAGAACCATTCCGTGAGAAACATGAAGCCTTTTCAAGCATCACCTTCCGTTTTTTTCTTTTTACTCTTTATTTTTCCTTAACCACAAGAAATATACACTCTTTTGCCTCTATGCCTTGGGCAGAAATCTTTCCTTGAATTCTTAGAAAAAAAGGCACATGGATGCGGTCAGCTTGCATCTCCTAAGTGCTGATGTATGTATCTCACAGAGTGTCATGTAGCTCCATTGACATCATCCTCATCATCTAGTCATCATTCAAGATGTCTCTCTGGTCTCTTCATTTTTTCTTTCGAAGTGTTTTCATTAACTCGCCCACACTATGATCTCCTCCATCACTCCCGGAAGAGTTTCGTGGAAAGGAGATATTTATAGTCTCTCAGTCTTGTGAATGAACTCCTATGGTTATTTTTATAACATTTTTTTTCCCCGGGCAAATTAGAGTCATCATTCTGGGAACTCAAGGAGGGCAAGACTTCTGCTTTGAAAATAAATAGGCCTTCTGCAGCACGTCACCAGCTCTGGGCATTAGGGGAGGCCACAGTACAAACACACTTATATGTAATTTTTGTGCTCATGGTTTTTGGCAGAGGGGGGGGGGGGCACCCTTGGCGACGGGCCTGGCCTACTGTCTCGTTATGAAATTCTTAAAAATGGGCCCTGTTTATGGATGCCTCCTGCTTCCTTGATTTGCACCCATTTTGGCCTGTTAAACCGTCCTCCTCCCCCCGCCCTTTCTCACTGCCCCCCCCCCCACCCCCACCACTGCCCTTACGCACTGCCTTTACCCTAAGACCGCCATTTTACCTTACAGTGAAAATTCATGGATCACATAAATTTCATATTCATTGGGATATAAGTTCAGTTTTTCATTATAAACCTGTGAGTTTGAGACTCAACAGTCTGAAACCGCGTTTTACCCAATGTACCACCCAAACATGTCACAACGCTGTACTGTGTTATGTTTTCATCAGGGAATATTACCAACATGTGAACAATCTACATGTGCTAGTAGGCTAAAATTTCCTGATTTTTCCATATTTTGAGTTTACTTTAATAGAAAACAAGTAGCGGTTTGCCCCAGTGTTTCTGGCCTCCTGATAAAACTCCCATGCGGAGTATTTAGGAGAAGAACAAATCAAGAACCAAGAGAACAATTTTTTTTTTAAAAGAAAGGAAAGTCTTTTGGTTTGTAAGTTCACAAATCCGTCCTAAAAAAAGTCATTTCATTCTTTCATTTGAGGTGCTCGTTATAAGTCTGTCGTTTCACTGTTGAGTCATTCATTGTTGAACACACACAGATTTGAGAGAGATAAAGTTCCTTTAAAAAAGAATTTTGCTGTGGAAAAAAATGAAGCCCATTAGTGTTGTATTTATAACCATTCCAGAAATAAGGACTGATTAGTTGTGGTCATTTTTAGCGGCAGAAACTCCCCTCGTCCAACCTCTTACTAAGTAGGGTAATTTGCTTGGATGGGTTCACACTTATGATCACTGCGGCACGGAGAGGAGAGCACGGAGCAACTTCCGATGGGTCATTGTCTGATTTCCCCTCCTTCGTCCCGTCGGGAGGTAAGCAATCATTTCCCCAGCCGCAGACTCTTTCCTGCCTCTTCTTTGATTGCTCCTAATGAAAGACGGGCAGTGCCAAACCACCCCCCCCCCCCCCCCCCGCCAATTTCCAAACAAGTTGTATTATTAGGTTATACATTGTGTATATAGTCATCCTGGATCCATTCTTGGAAGCAATGCTTTCCTAAAATTTAATGAACATTCTTTTTTTTATACATGTATGTCATGGTCGCTTAATGAAGAGAAAATTGTTTAAAAGGTTCAATATTCCAACATCCAAGTGTCACAATCATCTTAGAAACAAGCATGGAGACTCACGAAGAGAGAATCGAGAGTTAATTAATTTTGTTAACCCTGGGAAAAAAAACCTGCGGCGTCTATTTCTTTCTTTCTTCTTTTTTTAAGATGCAAAACTTAATTGCGATTCAATTGACTTCCAGTACGGGACGCGTTTTGTTGTTCCTCTATCAGGGCCATCTGCTTTGAAATTTGAGGAGGCAATTTCCTGACTGTCTGAGTTTTTTTTTTCTCCGTCATCACTTACCACTTAGTCATTAACTTATAATTAGGTCTTCATTTTTCTTTTAGAATGGCCCAGACTGTGACAGTGGTCAACACTCGCCTATTTTTACTCTATATTTCTTATTGAGCATTATAACGTTTTGAGGTTTTGAGGACAATTGATTGATGAAATGACAAACTAAAGATTTTGTCAAGGAATTGACTGCGGACTCTCTTCTGGTACAACTGTAAACCTTGCAATAAGAACATTTTGTTTTGTTTTGTTTTTCACCACATTGTAGGATTCTACTGACTATAAATATGGATTGGTACACAGTTTAGTAGAGACGAACGCAGATTTCTGGGAGAGAGAGCTATAGGGTCTAAGTCTTCAAGTTCAACTGAAAACCTGCAAAACAAACATAAGGTCACAGTAATTTATGCTTTATAAAGCTTAAACCAATAAAATGTTCCAAAATTTCCTCGATGGCAAAGTAGTGGTGGGTGAAATCAGAGATTTCAAAATCCAGTTATAAAAATCCTAATTTTTTTTCAAACCGAATAACAGTTATCTGATTTCACCGGAGGGTCCCGTTCAGCTCACAGTTTTACCAACCAAAAGTGATGGGTGAGGTGCCGCATGAAATGCCCTCCCAATGACTGGGTATAGTTTGCAGGATTCAATGACCACTGGGCCTTTACAAAAACACTACAGAGCTGTAATGTTGAAAACTTGGATGGGAACTCTCTGATGAGTCGAATGG